AATCTTCCTTCAATACTACCTACTCTAAGAATCACACCATTAGAAGTCACTTTATCAGGCAGGGCGCCTGGGTGGCTCAGTCATTAAGCGTCTGCCTTCGGCTCAGGTCATGGTCCGGAGGTCCTGGAATCAAGCCCCACATCGGGCTCCCTGCTCAGTGGGAAGCCTGCTTCTCCCTCTCCCACTCCCCCTGCTTGCGTTCCCTCTCTGGTTGTGTCTCTATCTGTCAAATAAATAAATTCAATCTTAAAAAAAAAAAAGTTACTTTGTCATCATAGATAACAGTAAACCACCCACAAAAGAATGACTTCTAATAATTAACAAACTATTCCACTTACCCAGATATCAGGAATATAGAGATCTGAACAAAGTTTTGGTGTCAATTATAAGATTACCGCTGGCAAATATTTATTTCTAATTAATAACATCTTTCAAAAAAAAGTTACTATTTCTGAATAAAATTCAGAAAATACTCCTCAAGACACATAATGTTTAGAGAGTAATTCTGTCCTCAAATTCTGAAAGACCCTAAAAGATGGTCTCTAGACTTGCAAGTGTGGCTGAGGACCAGCAGCATCAGGGTCACCAGGGACGTTGCAGAAATGCAGAATTTTAGAGCCACCCACACATCTACTAAATTAGAGACTGCATTTTTAACAAGTTCCCCAGGGGATTCATGTGCACATGACAGTTTAAAAAACAATACTCTATATAACATGGCATAAAATTTAATAAGGGCAGGCCAATCAGAAACACAGGCTTTATAATTATATATATTATAGTTATTATTCCGGATTTTAAATGCCTGTCCCTTATTCTTGTTGATACTCTATATAATGTGAAACACACAAATTAATGAACCAATCTATCACAGATTCCACTCTCACATAATTTAAAACAAATCTAAAGGACTTGCATAGTCTAATTCTGTTGTTCCTTAATTTTTACGTTTATAACAGAAATTTATAAACAGCTTCTTGTCCAGAGCCATTTCATTTCCAACAACTGATACTCACTTACGTTCATGAAACATGATAGTTAAAAAAAAAAAAGTTTCTATTTATGAGCATAATCTCACATAATAGCTCTCAAGTCTATAACTTCATTTCCCCATATTGTTAATCAAAAACTTTTTTTCTTAGAAACAAATCACAGTAAAAAAAACTATAATGAAATGTTTTATATTATACATAATTTTCTGTACTAAGTATGGCTTCTACTGCCTAGGGTGGACTTCTTAAGAATTTAAGAGGAGTCACTTGGGATCCCATAAGGGTTTCTAATGTGATCTGTGTTCTGTTCTTTACAAAGTCATGTTTCAACATGTCTCACTATACAATTAATGCAGCATTCTAAAAATATAACTGTGCCTTTATTTTTTATTTTTTAAAGATTGTATTTATTTGACAGAGAGAGACACAGCGAGAGAGGGAACACAAGCAGGGGGAGGGGAGAGGGAGAAGCAGGCTTCCCACTGAGCCGGGAACCCGATGCAGGGCTTGATCCCAGGACCCTGGGATCATGACCTGAGCCGAAGGTGGACGCTTAACGAATGAGCCACCCAGGTGCCTCTAACTGTGGCTTTAAACGATGGCTTTTTTATGGTAAGTCTTTTAAATGAATTATAATAAAATTTTTCTTCTTTAAATATAAATTTTTAAAATTTTTATCTATTTTGAATAATACACTTCTAGGACACAAATCATTAAGTCCTAATGTTATAAGGCATGGTGTTTCCATCAATAAAGATATCTTAACGCATTCTTCCCAGCCCTTACATTCTCTTCCTAGTCTTCGTTTCTACTCAATTATATCATCATATTTGAATCTACACTAGAAGCAGATGATTACCCAGTTGCCTAGCTGGCATCCAATTATCCTCCCTCCCTGAGAACACCTCTCCCTCACTGTATAGTAGCCATATGGTTTAGGCAGGCTGAACCTACCCTCTGCTCTGGGGCAGTAGGCCCTAAGTGCACCAAGCCAATTAGGGTAATCACATTCCTCTTAACTACTTACAGTGATCTGGTCAAGGGTGATCTAATCAGATAAAAGCTCAGGACTTTTGATCCATTGTTGTGGGAATTAATCCTTCCCCTCCAAGGATGTGAACAAAGCATGTGGCTTCCCTTGCTGATGGTAGCAATCTTGCAACCAAAAAGGAAAATCAGCATGAGGAACCCCACACAGGGAGTGAGGCAAGTCAGGAGAATCAATGGGGTTACAGTAAGAACAAACTATAACTAAAAGCTATGCTACTTCCACTTTTCTTTGTAGTTTAAGTTAGTTTGAGGTTGCTTTTCTGTTCTCAGCAACCAAAAGCTTTCTGATGGAACCTCAAAGGAAAGCATATAAGAATATTCAATATGCGATTTCCCAAATTTACATATAATTGCCACTTTCTATTACTTAATTCATTTGGGGATGTGATGTTTATTCTTATAACTTAGAAAAAGAAGCTGAAACTTAAGACCTGTCTCAGCATCCCATGCTCTTCGCCATTTTAACATGGTTGACTAAAAAAATTACATTTTAAGAAAAGCTTTTTTTTTAATTAACATATAATGTATTATTTGTTTCAATTAATGTATTATGTGCAACACATAATGTAATATTTGGTACAGGTCTGTGATTCATCAGTCTTACACAATACACAGCACTCACCACCACACAAAACCTCTTAAGAAAAGCTTTTAAGAGATAATCTATTTATAAGCTTAAGATCAACTTTAAGTTAAAATGTTAAGTGTAGGGGACATCTGGGTGGCTCAGCTGGTTAAGCATCTGCCTTGGACTTAGGTCATGAGCCACTTCTCCCTCTCCCTCTATGTTCTCTCCCTCTGGCTCTCAAATAAGTAAAATCTTTAAAAATAAAATAAGATGGGGGCGCCTGGGTGGCTCAGTCATTAGGCGTCTGCCTTCGGCTCAGGTCACGATCCCAGGGTCCTGGGATGGAGCCCCACATTGGGCTCCCTGCTCAGTGGGGAGTCTGCTTCTCCCTCTGCCTCTACTGTTCCCCCTGCTTGTGCTCTCTCTGTCTCTGACAAATGAATAAAATATTTAAAAAAATAATAAAGTAGACTATAGACTTTGCACTTTGAGAGGAAGTCCCACAAATAAATGACAGAGAACATGGAGTATGTGATTCAGAGAAGTGGCTTGAAAGAGCCAAGGCTCAGCCCTGCTCCTCCCTAGTCACATGATCATGGGCAAACCTCCTCTTCTCAGTCTGCTTCCCTATCAGTGAAGTGGGGATAACTCTACCTATTCTGCTAGCCTTACAGGACTCCTGTGAGCCTCAGATGCATGAAGGATGTGAAAGACACCTTTGTGGGGCACCTGCTCAGGTCATGATCCCTGCTCAGCAGGAAGTGGGCTTCTCCCTCTCCCTCTGCCCCTCCCCACCGCTCTCTCCCTCTTTCTCTCAAATGAATAAATAAAATCTTAAAAAAAAGGGGGGGGAGAACCCAAGCTATCTTTTTTCCTCACAAAAGAACATATATTTCATGCTGAGAATTTAGAGAAAAAAAAGCTAGGTAAAAACGATGAAAATCTCATGTACTCCAACTATTTTTTTTTCCCCTAGGGTTTTTTGTTTGTTTTGTTTTCTTTCCATGTGAATGGGTGAAGGGGTATGTGGTAGTAACCCCACTAAATAAATACAAATAATTTTTACTCAAGAATTAACTTTAGGGCGCCTGGGTGGCTCAGTTGGTTAAGCGGCTGCCTTCGGCTCAGGTCATGATCCCAGGGTCCTGGGATGGAGCCCCGCATTGGGCTCCCTGCTCAGTGGGGAGCCTGCTTCTCCCTCTCCTCCCCACTTGTGAGCTTCTCTCTCTCTCAAATAAATAATCTAAAAAAAAAATTAAAAAATTTAAGAATTAATTTTCGGGCCTGTTAATCAACAGTGTCAGTGCTCATGAAATTGATAATTTGATAAAAATGCCATCTAATCTAAGAGCTTTGAGCCGTAAGAACATAATTCCTGCCTCATGCCATGTTACAGGTGCTCAAGATCCAAACTAGCATCCACAGGAGAACAAGAGTCAAAACTACTGCCCCTGGGAAGCCTTTAAGGACACAGTAAATAGAATGAGAAGTAGTGGTGGTATCATTAGAATGACACCTGAGAGGTGTACCTCTTGTAATTTCTCAAGAAACCAAAATGTCTTCTTAGAGGAGGCAGGGAAGTCGGGTTTCCCTGGTACCAAGTCAGACAGGCAACTTCTTTGGTTGTTTTAAACTTATTTTATTTTATTTATTTATTTGCCAGAGAGAGAGGGGGAGAGAGAGCACAAGCAGGGAGAGCAGCAGAGGAGGAAGCAGGCTTCCGAACCGAGCAGGGAGCCCAATGCGGGGCTGGATCTCAGGACCCTGGGATCATGACCTGAGCCGAAGGCAGACGCTTAACGACTAAGCCACCCAAGTGCCCCAAAAGGACAAAATTTTAGAAGAAAATATTAATGGAAACTTTAGAAATTTCCATTTAGAAATTTCAGCTTCCCTTGAGGAATTTAACGCAGCATTTTAGACTCTTAAGTGCTACAGTTGGAGTTCTTTCCTTTTACGTGTATCTCACACCTCTCTGAACTCTTAGAGCACCGAGAAGCCTTTATCCACGCAATTTCATGCGTCTTAACATAGTGTCATCTTATTTGCAGGAACTTTACTTTTTCATGCCAGTTTCCACTCTCTCTGACCACAGAGTCATCTCCATGTGGTCAGAAATAGGCACTGAGCAATTTCTAACTGATTAGAACTGGGAATGCCTATGTGAGTCATATAATTCCAAGGCAGAGACAAACTATCTATAGTACACAGCATTATTTACCACTCAACAAGATCATTAGGAGAATAATGACCTAAGAGGTTTTTAAAAATACTCTGAAATTAATTCAAGTCTTCTTAAAAAGAAACCCTTCTATGTGGAATAAAAAAAAAAGTGAAGCTCTTCGTTTAGCCGAAAGAACATGCCCAAACCAACCAACCCCACAATTTACCTCGATAGTAGGCCTTTGTTATTGCATCGAATTCCTCTTGACCTGCTGTGTCCCACAACATCAGTCTGACATCTTCATCATTAACTCTGAAACAAGAGATGAATTTATTTCATATGTAAACAAAACATCTTTAGTAACATAGCTTTGTGCATATTTCTGGTTTTTAAGTCTGAAGGTTTTAAAACTACACTGTTGGTTTCCACTCTGAAAAAGTCTGAGTGCTTTTAAGTGCTGATACCACTACCAGTAGTGAAACTAAGGGGGGAAAGACAGTCCCCCAAAGCTATAACCTCATACATGATTTGAGTTTACCTGTCATGTTTTCTCCTTTAACAACAGTCACAGACAGTGGTCGTTCCAGGACTAGCAGCACTGGGAAGGGGATTCCCTTAGGTCAGTATTTGCTCTCCTCTTGCAATAACATTTGGGTCCACAAGTGATAGAATAAGAATAAGAAAGGAAAGAAGCAAAAAAGGAAGAAAAGAAAGAAGGGAGGAAGAAAAGAAGCAGCTTGGTTGCCCTATAACTTAAAAATTTACTCTTATTTTGTCATATAGTGCATTGCCTTATTCACGGTAGCTACGTTCTATAAAGTCACTGCAAACACTGAATTATCAAATACTGAAACACTGCTCCTAGGGGAAATACAGGGTTAGGTTCCCATGACCCCTAGTTACATTTTTCCCTAACGAATCAATACATAACCTTGTTGGGGTTTTTTTGTGGTTCTGTTTAAAGATAACTTATTTAATACATATTGTTAATTCATTAACATTCAACTCAAGGCCAGTAGCACTGTAACTCATGCGTAAATGAAGTGTACCTAACATACATATTTTCTCTATAAGGCACATCATAGACTTCTTGTACCTAGGAAAACTAGACAGCACTATGCTTGGGGGCCATTTTAAACAGCAACATCATCAACAAGAAGTACAAAAATGTGGCACAAAAACAGACATGAGAAAACACTTGTTTATAGTGTGAGGGATGAAAAAAGAAGGAAGAGGGTAGCCTTGCTCGACCTCAGCTGAGAATGTGCATGTAGGGTAGCAAATATTTGCTGCTCTGTGCATATCCACGGATGACCACCAAAGCACTGGGAGTATTGACTCGGGATACAAAAAGATTTTAGCAAGTAGATCAGTTGCAAATATGGAACCTATAAACAATGAGAACCTTAAAGTATAACTATGTAATCTACAAATAACGAGGATCACCTGTATATTTAAAATATTAATTTGGTTCAGATAACAAATATAAAAATGAACATCATGAAAGCTTAAAATGAATCCTCAAAATATCTGAGAAAGGAAGTAAACACAGAAGTGTTTTGAAAAGACAGCAATAGAATACAAATTAGAAATTGAACAATCTTTAAAACAATGAACACACCTATCTTTAATGCTAATGTCTAGGCTAGTCAGATTTGTTTAAGGTTATTTCTTTAGTATCTGTCAGTTTGTCTCTACAATTTAAAATATGCTTGGGGTGTGGGAGAATGGGCAAAATGAGTGAAGAGGAGTGGGAGACACACACTTCTACTTATGGAATGAATAAGTCACAGGAATAAAAGGTATAGGGAATATGGTCAATGGCACTGTAAGAGCATTATATGGGGACAGATATAGCTACACTTGTGGTGAACACAGCATAACCTAAACAGAAGTTGAATCATTCTGTTGTACACCTGAAACTAATGTAACGTTATATGTCAACTATACTCAAATGAAATGAAATGAAGTATCTTTAAAAGTTCTCAGGACTAATGACAAAAACTTACTTTTTTTTTTTTTAAGATTTTATTTATTTGACAGACAGCGAGCGAGCACAAGCAGGGGGAGTGACAAGCAGAGGGAGAGGGAGAAGCAGACTTCCCGCTGAGCAGGGAGCCCAACGTGGGGCTGGATCCCAGGACCCTGGAATCACGACCTGAGCCGAAGGCAGATGCTTAACCGACTGAGCCGCCCAGGCGCCCCCCCAAAAACTGTTACTTTTGATGTGTTTTAGAATCCAACTGGATTTCATGAAGTAAGATTTCCTTTTCAGGGGCACCTGGGTGGCTCAGTCGTTAAGCGTCTGCCTTCAGCTCAGGTCATGATCCCGGGGTCCTGGGATCGAGCCCTGAATCGGGCTGCCTGCTCAGTGGGAAGCCTGCTTCTCCCTCTCCCATTCCCCCTGCTTGTGTTCCCTCTCTCGCTGTGTCTCTCTCTGTCAAATAAATAAATAAAATCTTTAAAAAAAAAAAAAAAGATTTGCTTTTCATTGGAGTATTTAATCCTGCCAAATCTCTTATTTCTTTAAAACAAATTATTAATTCTCTACCTTTGAGATAGTCTTAGGATCCTATAATAGTTGAAAACTGTTCTGAGAGACAAGTAACTGTCCTTCCAAATAAAACACGCATGCCTTGTTTCATTGCACTTTGCTTTACTGTGCTTAAGAGAGACTGTTTTTTGTTTTTTTTTTTTACAAATTGCGGGTTTATGGCAACCCTGCATTCAGCAATTCTGTCAGCACCACTTTTCCAACAGCATTTCTCACTTTGTGTCTCTGTGCCACATTTTGGTAATTCTTACAATTTTTCAAATCTTTTCATTATTATATTTGTTATGGTGCTCTGTAATGAGTGATCTTCATGTTACTATTACAATGGTTTTGGGGTGCCAAAGACTGCTTCCACGTAAGATGGACAACTCAGTGGATCAATGTCGTGTGTGCTCACACTACTCCACCAACCAGCCCTTCCTCCATCTCTCTCCCTTTTCTTGGGTCTCCCTATCCCCTGAGACATAGCAATACCGAAATCAAGCCAATTAATAGCCCTACAGTGGCCTCTAAGTGTTCAAGTGAAAGGAAAAGCCACACATCTCTCACTTTAAATCAAAAGCTAGAAATGATTAAGCTTAGTGAGGAAAGCATGTTGAAAGCCGAGATAAGCTGAAAGCTAGGCCTCTTGTGCCAAATGGCCAAGTTGTGAAGGCAAAGGAAAAGTTCTTGAAGGAAATTAAAAGTACCACTCCAGGGGCACCTGGCTGGGTCAGTCAGTAGAGCATATGAACTCTTGATCTCAGGGTCATGAGTCTGAGCCCCAAGTTGGGCGTAGAGATTACTTTAATAAACAAACAAACAAATAAATAAATGTGCTACTCCAGGGAACACACAGATGATAAGAAAGCAAAACAGCCTCACTGCTGTATGGAGGAAGTTTTGGTGATCTGGAGAGAAGATAAAACCAGCTGCATATCCCTTAAACCAAAGCTTAATCCAGAGAAAGGTCCTAACTCTCCTCAGTTCTCTGAAGGCTGAGAGAGGTGAGGAAGCTGCAGAAGAAAAGTATGAAGCTAGCAGAGGAGGGTTCATGAGGTTGAAGGAAAGATGCTGCCTGTGTAACGTAAAAGTACAAGGTGAAGCAGCAGGTGCTGATGTAGAAGCTGTGGCAGTTTACCCAGAAGCTCTAGCTGAGAGAATTCCTGAAGGTGCTACACTAAACAGCAGATTTTCAGGGTGGATGAAACAGCCTTCTACTGGAAGGAGATGGCATTAAGGATGTTCATAGCTAGAGAGAAGTCAGTGCCAGGCTTCAAAGCTTCAAAGAACAGGCTGACTCCCTCATTAGGGGCTAATGCAGCTGGTGACTTTAAATTGAAGCCAATGCTTATTTACCATTCTGAAAATTCTAGGGCCTTTAAGAATTATGCTAAATTTACTACTCACATCTGTTTACACAATGGTCTACTGAATATTTTAAGCACACTGTTGAGACCTACTGCTTAGAACAAAAATTCCTCCAAAATTTGATTGCTCATTGACAATGGACTGGTCACCCAAGAGCTCTGATAGAGATGTACAATGAGACAATGTTGTTTTCATGCCTGCTAACACAACATTCATCCTGCAGGCCATGGATCAAGAAGTAATTTTGACTTTCAAGGCTTTACTATTTAAGAAATACACTGTGTAAGGTTATAGCTGCCACAGACAGTGATTCCTCTGATGGATCTAGGCAAAGAAGATTGAAAACTTTATAGAAAAAAATTCACCATTCTAGATGCCATTAAGAACATTCATGATTCACTGGAAGAGATCAAATATCAACACCAACAAGACTTTGGAAGAAGCAGATTCCAACTCTCATAGATGAGTTTGTGGGGTTCAAGACTTCTATGGAGGAAATAACTGAAGAATGGGTAGAAACAGCAAGAGACCTGGAATTAGAAGTGGAGACTGAAGATGTGACTGAATTGCTGCAATCATGTGATAAAACTTGAACAGATGAGGAGTTGCTTATTATGAACGAGCGAAGAAAGTGGTTTCTTGGCATGGAATCTACTTCTGGTGAAGATGCTGTGCAGACTGTTGAAATGACAACAAAGGATTTAGAATATTAAATAAACTTAGTTGATCAAGTAGCAGCAGGGTTTGAGAGAATTTTTTTTTAAGTTTTTAATTTTAATTCCAGTATAGCTAGCATGCAGTGTCACATGAGTTTCAGGTATACAATACGGTGATTCAGTAGGGTTGAGAGAATTGACTCCAATTTTGAATGAAGTTCTACTGTAGGTAAAATGCCATCAAACGGCATCATATGCTACAGAGAAATCATTCCTGAAAGGTAGAGTGAATCAATGAGGCAAACTTCACTGTTGTCTTATTAAAAAATCACAACCACCCCCACTTTCAGCAGCCACCGCTCTGATTGATCAGTCAGCAGCCATCAACATGGAGGCAAGACTCTTCACTAGCAAAAAGATTTAAGACTTGGTGAAAGATTAGAGGATGGTTACCATTTTTTAGCAATAAAGTATTTTTAAATGAAGGTATGTATATTATTTTTTTAGACATAATGGTATCACATACCTAATAGACTACAGTATAATGTAAACATAACTTTGACATGCACTGCGAAACCAAAAAAATTTATTTGACTCGCTTTTTGCAGTGGTCTGGAACTGAACCTGCAAAATCTCCAAGTTGAGCTTGTAGTGGACAGAAATCTCATTAGAGTCAAGCATCAGTTTGTGTTTAAGAAGTATGTAAGGTGCCACCAATAAATATAAAACAGATACAAGATAGAAAGGGTGGGGAGGGGAGTATGAAAAAGGGGGAAAATGAGGAAGGGAAAATAGATGAAAGGTGGGAAAAAGACAGAAGGATAAAAATACACACAGGAATGTATTGACTAACTAGAATGTAAATAAAACCTTGAAACATTAAAGAGAATGGAAAAAGAAGAAAAAAAAAGATACAGGACTGAGTATTTGAAAACCACCACCAACTGTCTCATTAGCCACTGCCATCAGACTGGATCCTAACCTTGGACTGTACTGCAATTAGTATTATTCTAATGAAAGCCTGGGATAGAGTTCACAAATCAAAACTGAGGGGATAAAGTGGCCAAGTACATACTGGATCTGTCGCTCCAAAAAATCAACTCCGATGGTTTTCTTGTAGTCTTTTGTAAAAATGCCTTTGCAATATCGCTGAATCATACTTGATTTTCCAACTGCTCCATTCCCTACAACCACCATCTTGATGGCCACTTCCATATCTTCCTCCAACATTTTTGCAGTTGAAAAGGCTTCTGAACCAACTTTAATCCAGGTGATCAGATCTTCTCAAATCTGTGGTTTAAAATGAAATTATTTTTCATAACATAGAAATTGTACAAAATATTATAATTTTATTTTATTTTTTTAAAGATTTTATTTATTTATTTGACAGAGAGAGACACAGCGAGAGAGGGAACACAAGCAGGGGGAGTGGGAGAGGGAGAAGCAGGCTTCTTGCAGAGCAGGGAGCCTGATGCGGGGCTCGATCCCAGGACCCTGGGACCATGACCTGAGCCAAAGGCAGACGCTTAACGACTGAGCCACCCAGGTGCCCCAAAACGTTATAATTTTAAAAACTGATTTATTTATTTGAGAGAGAGTGTGTGCATGAGCAGGGGGAGGGGCAGAGGGAGAGGGAGAGAATCTCAAGCAGACTCTCTGCTGAGCGCAGAGCCTGACCTGGGGCTGGATCCCAGGACCCTGAAATCATGACCTGAGCTGAAACCAAGAGTCAGACGCTTGACCGACTGAGCCACCCAGGCACCCCAAAAATTGTTACAAAATAAGCCGTAATTGTTTTATGAAGAAATAACTATAGTGCGTGGCAAGAATTTTTCCATGATGGAGGTCCCCTTACCACCCTGTTTAGATCATGTAAATTCACTGAAAGGAGGTATAATAACATCATTCATTTTTGAATCCTGAAAAATAGCACACAATATATGACATCAGGTATTAATAAATGCCTAGATTATGTAGTTCTACCTTTCAATGAGACTAAGACTAAGACTGCAGTGTTAGAATTGAGGTATGATTTAAAGTTGCCATTTACTAGTTCTGTGCTCTAAGTGAAGTTACTGGCTAACCTCTTTAAGCTTCAGTTTAACTGAGGATATTTACCTCAGAAGATTGTTAATCAATGGTACATATAAAGCACTTAGCATAGTGAAAATTAAGCATTCAGGCACACCTGGGTGGCTCATCAGTTGGTTAAGCATCTGCCTTCAGCTCAGGTCATGATCCCAGGGTCCTGGGATCGAGTCCCACATCGGGCTCCTTGCTCAACAGGGAGCCTGCTTCTCCCTCTGCCTGCCACTCCCCCTGCTTGTGCTCTCTCTCTCTCTCTCTGACAAATAAATACATAAAAATCTTAAAAAAGAAAAGAAAAAGCATTCAAAAAATGGTAGTTTAGTTTAATACAACATAATAAATCCTCCACAGTTATCACCACATGGGCAACAAATACAAAATCTAAGGAAACTGCTTGTTCAATCTCACAGGTAATAATTAATATCCCTAGAAAGGCACCCCAAAGAAAGATTTTGTGTAATAACATACAACTGTAACAGCATTGGACTCTTAATGTTCAGGTTACAATGACTCCTTCACAACTAATCTTATACCACACACTCTTTCTTTAGTTTCAGACTAGTTACAGTTACTCATATAATGAAAGTAATACAATGTGTACTGTTTGCATTTTAGACTGAAAAGAACAGAAAGTCAATTTCTTAGGAAAATTACTAGTTAAGTTCCTGACTACTGTTATATGTTATAATATTATATTCCAGCTCCCTTAACTGAAAATCCATCTATACCACCACTACACAAAACAAGTCTGAAACATGAAGAACATTCCTCTCCGCTCCTCATGGAGTCTCAGTAATTGTCCCTAGTGCTTCACAAACTTGCAAAATCGTAAGAATCATCTAGGAAGATTTGTTAAAGTATAGGTTCTAGGTCTCCACCTCAAACATAATTAAATGATGTAAAAAAAATAGAATATCAGAATGAAAAGAAGAATGTGGTAGGACCAAAAATACAGGTAAATACAATAGATTTCTCTTGAGCGTTCTAAATTATGTTTGACTCAAACACAACTGTGTGGTTTTCAATATGTGTAGAGAAAATATTTAACATAATTAATTATAAATGGGAGCGATCAAAGGAATGTAAAGGGAGGTAAGAGTTCTACGCTTCCCTTGAACTGGTAAAATGTTGACACCAACGGACTGTGATAAATTATATATATGTAGTGTATACAGTATAATACTAGAGCAACCACTAAAGAAGTTACACAGAGGGGCACCTGGGTGGCTCCGTTGATTAAGCATCTGCTTTAGGCTCAGGTCATGATCTAGGGGTCCTGGGATCAAGCCCCCGCATCTGGCTCCAAGCTCACCATGGAGCCTGCTTCTCCCGCTTCCTCTGCCCCTCCCAACTCATGCACTCTCCCACTCTCTCTCAAATAAATAAAATCTTAAAAAAAAAAAAAAAGTTATGCAAAGAGATATACTCAAAAACACTACAATAAAACAAAATGAAAGTCTAATAACACAATAAAACTGTCAGAATCTAATTGGCATTTATAGAACTGTCCACACAAGAGAATATACTTTTCTCTTTTAAAGATTTTATTTATTTACTGAGAGACAGAAAGAAGTGTGAGCAGGGGGAGAGGCAGAAGGAGAGGGAGAAAGAATCTCAGACTCTGCACGGAGTCTGTTCTCGGGGCTTGAACTCACAACCTTAAGATCATGATCTGAGCCAAAATGAAGAGCCGGACACTCACTGACTGAGCCACCCAGGCACCCCAGAACATACTTTTTTTCAAGTACCCATTAAATATATACCAAGATAAAACAGATTCTAGGCCATAAAACAAACCTCAACAAACTTAAAATAATGGGATCAATCAAACTAGAAATCAGTAACAGAAAGATAACAGGAAAACCGGCAAACATTTGCAAACTAAAAACACAGACTTCTAAAGAACCTGTGGGCCAAAGAAAGAAGCTCAAAAGACATTTTTTTCAAATAATTAAACTGAATTAAATTGAAAATACAAAATGTGAGAATTTGTGGGACATAGCTAATGTAGTGCTGAGAGGGAAAATTATAGCACTAAATGCTTACCATAGACAAGAAGTTAAGTCTCAAATCAATAATTTAAACTCTCACTTCAAGAAACTAGAAAAAGAGCAAAATAAATCCAAAGCAAAGGATGTAAATAATAGAAGTAAGCAGAAATCACTGAAATTGAAAACAGAAAAATAGGGAAAATTAAACAAAAAAACGTTCTTTAAAGATAAAAAAAATTGAATAACACAGGAAAAAAAAGAGAAGATACAAATTACCAGTATTAGGAATAAAATCAGGAATGTCACTGTGGACTTTGCAGACTCAAAAGGATAATATAACAACTCTACACAAATCAATTTGACAACTTAGGGAGGCCTGGGTGGCTTAGTCCTTTAAGCATCTGACTCTTGATTTTGGCTCAGGTCATGATCTCAGGGTCGTGAGATGGAGCCCCACACACTCTCTCCCTCTGCCCCTCCCCCCCTTAAAAAAATCGACAACTTAGATGAAATGGACCAATTCCTTAAAAAGCGTAAAGTACCACAATCCACTGAAAATGAAATAGATAATCTGAATAGCCCTGTAACTATAAAGGAAATTGAACTTGTAACTTAAAAACTCAAAGACAAATCTCCGGGCTCGGGTGATTTCACTGGAGAATTTTACTAAACCTTTCAAGAATTGACACCAATGATATACACTCTCTTCCAGAATACAGAAGAGAAGGGAATACTTCCCAACTTATTTTATAAAACCAGTATTATTTTGATACCAACATAAAAACAGTACCAAAAAACAAAACAAAAACAACTGGACAAAGACACACAAAATTCCTCAACAAAATATTAGTAAATCAAATCTAGGAATATACAAAAAGAATAACTAGGACCAAGTGGGCTTTATTCTGGGAATGCAAGGCTGGTTCAATACTCAAAACTCAATCGGTGTAATCTACCAAATTAACAAAGTAAAAAAGAAAAACCTCATCACCATATCAACTGAAACAGAAGAAATATATAACAAAATTCAACATCCGTTTTTTAGAAAAATAGTCCGCAAACTAGAAACAGAAGACTTCTTCAGCCTCATAAACGTCATCTATTAAAAAACTCCACAAATGGGGCACCTGGGTGGCCCAGTCGTTGGGCGTCTGCCTTCGGCTCAGGTCATGATCCCAGGGTCCTGGGATCGAGCCCCGCATCGGGCTCCCTGCTCAGCGGGGAGCCTGCTTCTCCCTCTCCCTCTCCCCCTGCTTGTGTTCCCTCTCTCGCTGTGTCTCTCTCTGTCAAATAAATAAATAAAATCTTTTTTAAAAATAAATAAATAAATAAATAAATAATAAATAAAAAAATAAAAAACTCCACAGCTAACATTATACTTAACTCTGAAAGCTTGCCTTTTGTTTTTTCAAGTAAACTCTATGCACAACATGGGGCTCAAACTCATGACCCGGAGATCAAGAGTCGCATGGTCTACTGACTGAGCCAGCCGGGTGCCCCTGAAAGCCTGACTGCTTTAACCCTTAGACTGAGAACAAGATAAGTATTTTCACTCTCACTACTCCTATTCATCATACACAAAGTCTTAGCCAGAAACGAGGTGACAAAAAATAAATAAAACTCTTACAAGTTAGAGAAAAATTAAATAAAACTGTCCTTATTCACAAATTACATGAGTGTCTTTACAGAAAACTCCAAGGAATTAAAAAAAAAAAAAATCCTAGAACTAATAAATGAGTTTAGCAAGGACACGGGATGCAAGTGCAACACACAACACTGAATTGTATTTCTATACCCTAACAACATACAATTTGAAAAATTGTACATTTTTATTTTTTTAATTTATTTTATTTATTTAAGTAATCTCTACACCCAACATAGGGCTGGAACTCACAACCCCAAGATCAAGAGTAGCATGCTGTTCCAACCGAGCCAGCCAACCACTCCTGAAAACAAAATTTTTAAGTGACATTTATAAAAGTTCCCCCAAAATTAACTACTTTGGTATAAATTTAACAAAACATGTACAGGACCTATATGCTGAAAATTATAAATCACTAATGAAACAAAGACCTAAATAAATAAAAAGATGTGCCATGTTCACAGATTGGAAGACTCAAAAAAGTAAAAACAGCACTTCTCCCCAAAACGATCCATGGTTTAATCCAATTCCAAAGCACCAGCAGGATTTTCTGCAGTTGAGACAAGCTGATTCTAAATGTTATACGGAAAGGCAAATAAACTAGAACAGCTAACACAATTTTTAAAAAGAAGGAAATCATAGTAGCCAATTTTAAGACACCATAAAGCTATACTAATTAACAAAGTGTGATACTGGGGGTGCCTGGGTGGTTCAGTCGGTTAAGTGTCTGCCTTTGGCTCAGGTCATGATCTCAGGGTCCTGGGATCCAGCCCAGGGTGGGGCTCCCTGCTCAGCTGGGAGTCTGCTTCTCCCTCTCCTTCTGCTCCCCCAACTGCCCCCTGCTTGTGCTCAGGTACTCTCTCTCTCAAATAAATAAATAAAATCTTTAAAAAATAAAATAAAATAAATAAAAGTAAAAGAATAATTTTTAGAAGAAATCTCTTACAAGGTGAAAATGTTGATCTGGGGTTAGGCAGAGTTCTTAGACATCATACCAAAAAAATTTCCACAAAAGGAAAAATTGATAAATTAGACTTCACAAAAATTAAAAACATTTGCTCTGTGAATGATACTGTTAAAAGAATGAAAAGACAAGCTACAGACTGCGAGAAAATATTTGCAAAGCACATACCTACCAAATAACTTCTATCTAGAACATATGAAGAACCCTCAAAACTCAACATAAGGAAAAAAAAAATAACAAGAAAGCAAACAACCCATTTGAAAAATGGGCAATACTCTTGCCCAAATACTCATCAAAGATTATATATGCCAAATAAGCACATGAAAAGATATTCAAAATCATTGGTCATTAGTTAAAGACACACTAAAACCATGGGATATCACTACACGCCTATGAAATGGCTAAATTTAAAATTACTGACAATACACAGTGCTTACAAGGATGTGGAACAATTGGTAGTCCCCCACGGTGCTGGTAAGAATGCAAAATGACAATAGCCACTCTGGAAACCAGCATGACAGTTCCTTACAAAGTTAAACATCCTTTATATGACCCTGCAGTCTCACTCCTAGCAATACCCTACAGAAATGAGAACTTATGTTCACACAAAAACCTGTACACTAATGTTTATAGCAGCTCTATTCATAATCACCAAGAACTGGAAACACTCCAAATGTCCTTCAGTGGATGGATGTATAAACAAATTGGCACATCCATCTAATGGAACATTACTTAGCAATAAAAAAAGAAGACATTGTTGATATATTCAACTTTGAGGAATCTCAAAGGCATTATGCTGAGTGAAAGAAGTCAGCATCAAAAGGTTACATAGTGTATGATTCCACTTAATATGACATCTGGAAAAGTTTAGTAATTGCCAGGGGTTGGGGTAAGGGGAAGGATATAAAAGGGTAGCATGAATTTGGGGTGGGGGGTGATAAGCACTGTTCTATGTCCTGATTGTCGTGGTGATTGCATTAATCTAAAATTCACAGAACGGCACACCCCTTAAAAAGTCAATTTTAGGGGCGCCTGGGTGGCTCAGCCGCTCAGCTCATGGTCCCAGGGTCCTGGGATCGAGCCCCGCATCCGGCTCCCCGCTCCTCCCTCTCCCACTCCCCCTGCTTGTGTTCCCTCTCTCGCTGTGTCTCTCTCTGTCAAATAAAATCTTAGGGCGCCTGGGTGGCTCAGTCGTTAAGCGTCTGCCTTCGGCTCAGGTCATGATCCTAGGGTCCTGGGATCGAGTCCCACATTGGGCTCCTCAGCGGGAAGCCTGCTTCTCCCTCTCCCACTCCCCCTGCTTGTGTTCCTGCTCTGTCTCTCTTTGTCAAATAAATAAAATCTTTTAAATAAATAAATAAAATCTTAAAGTCAATTTTACCGTATAATTTTAAAAATACAATTTACGGAAGAAAAGCCTAATCAGATTTTAACACAGCGAGTCTGACTGGTGATTATCAGCTACTACTGCTCTGTAGACTTAATGCACTCTATCAAAACAGTTAAGTTCTTAGAAAATAAGATAATTCTGAGTATAATAATTAAAAGGCTTACAGCAATGCTTTGCATAAATACTCTTTTCTAAATACGTTTTCCCCAAATTTAATTTTAAAAACTTTTCCAACCAATGCAGTCTAATAAATTAGAAAAGGTACTTAAGTACAGGGACGATTGTGTTTATAACACTGAAAAACTTGTTAGGTCCAATGAAATTACCTAGAACACGTTAGGAGTTATATAAAACCTAGAGAAACGACCCTTTCAGACTCTACCGGCACTCCTGATAGTGAAGTTAATGGTCTCTCACACACCCTCAGGTTCTTACGTCTGGGAGCTGCCGAAGACTCCTCGGTTCTCCGAGTTAAGTAATTCTGCGGCAGCCAGTGTCAATGAAATAGTGCAGTCTGGCTCATTCATATTCTAGCAGTCTCTGAGCAAGAAACTAGGGAAGGGTGGGGCCGCGGGTAAGGAGGGGGCCCCGCCGCAGGGAGGAGGGGGTTCTAAAAGCCAAGGCAGAGCTTGGGACCCCCCCCCTCCCGATCAAACCGCACCCGGCACTTGACGCCCCCTGTTGGTGTCTCGCCCGGCCTGGGTCGCCCCTTCCCCATGTGGGCGCTGGGAGAAGGCGAGAAGCTGGGTGCTCAGCCAGGCTGGAGGCCAGCGCCTCGCCCCCGCTCCGTCTCGCTCCTTCCCGCCCAAGGGGCAATTCCAGGGATCCACACCCTGGGAGCCCGGGCCGCTGGGCGCTGAGAGAGGGTGCCGGGCAGGTAGTGCCGCCCACCTTCTCCAGGGGATACTTGGGCACCGCGCTCAGCGGCCGGGGCCGGGGGATGGGAGCCCGGGCCTGGAGGCCCCTGCCCCCACACCCCTCTACATAGAGTCCCCGGAGTACGGCATATCCCGGGACCCCGGGAAGAAGCGGGTCCTTCCCCAGCGGAGCCGGGGGAACCCTCAGCCGCTGGAGAGGGCGAGTCAGAGCCGCGCCACTGCCCGGAGTGCAAGCCGCTACTCACCGTCCCCCGCCCGCCGCGGACTCGCCGCCCGGCGCGACCGGCTCCTCCTGGTCGCGGCGCAACCGCTGCCGCCGCCGCCGCCACCGCCAAAACCACCTCGTCCTCCTCCTCCTCCTCCTCCTCCTCCTCCTCCT